TTCATTATTGCTTGGCCCTAATCCTCTTCCGTAAGAAACAGTCATGAAAGTGTCTCTCTTTAAGTACACTTAAGTGGCCTTTTATTCAATTAATATTATCTACAAGTACAGTTTTTAAAAAAAATACTTTTAAGATTTGATGTATAGCACATTCAATACAAGTAAGAGCACCTATTTTTTTCATAAGGGAAGTCACACACTATGAATATTCAATGGCACATTCTTAAACTTTTACATATTGTAAATCCCCCTGACTCATCATTGTGATATATTACACACAGACAGGTCATACCTACAAATACTTATGTTGAAACTGGACGGCTGTAGTATCCATTGACTCAACTTGCTCGTATGAAGGTTGACATGATGAACGTACAGCTTGCATGCAGCTAAGTGTCTCCCATGCCTCAGATGTATTCTCAGTCTGTCATCTTCAGAGCTGGCCATGCAGCTCGGCCGTGTCTGTGCTCTGAGTCTGAACTCGCTCCTGACGCCCTCTGCTGGTGCTCCATCGATGCGGTCCTGTAGACCACTAAGAGCGGCTGGCTGAGAGAGCTGCTGTTCAAGCAGTAGAGGCTCTGCGTCAGGGCTTCATGGAGAACCAAGCTGCCGCTCTCATCCCCGAAGCGCAGCTGGAAGCCCAAAATATCTGAGTGGCGCGGTGGCTGGGTTATTGCAGCTGTCACGTCGAAAACGTCATATCCTGATGGAGGCAGCTGGTCCAGACTCAATATGTGCTCCGCAAGAGGGCCACTAATGCTCAGGTTATCAGTTCCCGGTGAAAGACTGTGTACTGTGACCGTCACACTAAGCGGCTTGTGATGAAGAGTCTTCCTCAGCAGGACCAGCTCTGCAACCCTCATGAAGGGACTCAGCTGGGACATGTTGAACCAGATCCATCCCGGAGTGCCATACTTTGAGTCTTATTTAGAAAATAACATCTTTTAAGAGTCTTTCAGTTGAAAATATTAAGCAGCTTTTATAACCTTTTTATAGATTATATTTATATATTACTTTGTAGGCTGTCAAAATGTTTTATGCATCAACATCTATTCAGAGAAGTGTAGTATTAAAACTCATTTCGGTGTATATACAATACCCAATAATAAATAGTTTTTAGATGAGAACATTTATAGATTTTAATATTCGATTCAGTTTATTCAGATTAAAAATTTAAGTATCTTTACCTTCAATGCTCCGGAAACTCTGCACAAGAGTCCCATCAGCACCACTCAGGTCTCTTGCCTGTGCGTCCAGTGACTGGTAAACGTGCTTCATGTAGGGGTGTGGCTTTGCCTGCTGAAGCACTGACAGTTTATTTATATGCAACATCTCCAAAATAGCTTTGCTCAGGTCTCTATCTTCCAGTTCCTCCCCCTGATCTTCCATTAACAGCAAACCGTGAGTCCCTCCTAGTCCTAAAAGACCAATTAGGAAGCATAAAAATGATGCTGAAAACCACATTCTGCAAAAATGAAAGAACTGCCAGATTCACTGAAGAAAGCAGAGTCCTGATTCTCCCGCACAGCTCGGTCAGGAAACAGTGAGCACAGCAGAACCTCGTTCACTCATTAGTGGGTGGGCAGGATTCACAGCCCGTGCAACCAACGGCCAAACACTGAAAAAAGCAATTACCGCTCTCCCACAGAAAACCCTGGAATGTCACACTCCATTTGACAGGCATTGTGCTCTCAGTTTTCATGCTGCAAAGTGAACAGGCCTGTTTTGGTTTGAGGCTCGAGTCATGATACTGTCGTGAACGCGCGTCCACAAGTGACGAAAATGTGGAATAAAGTCGTTATTTTTGTTTTCTTTGCGCAAAAAAGTTGAACCACTGATATCACACGGACTACTTTTTACGATCATCTTTTCTGGACCTTGAACGTGGTAGTTACCTTGCCGTCTATGAGAGGGTCAGAGAGCCCTCAGATTTCATCAAAAATATCTTAAATTGTGTTCCGAAGATGAACGAAGGTCTTACGGGTTTGGAACAACACGAGGGTGCGTAATTAATTTAGTATTTTGTATTAATTTTTGGGTGAACTAACCCTTTAACAACTACCTTACAAACTATTAATTAGCAGCAAATTAGGAGTTTATTGAGGCAAAAGTCACAGTTAATAGTGAGAATTGGACCCCAAATTGAAGTGTGAGCCAGTAGGCTCTAAGGGGTTAAACATGAACTGGTCGCTCTCTCGGTGTAATGACAGGTCTGAATGATCGTGACAGTAAAGGCCGCTGGGAGTGGGTGAGTGGAGAGCCTGTCACTTCCTCCTAAAAACAGGAAGAAGGGAACGAGGAGGTGCGTCCTGGTCTGGAGAAAGACGAAATGGCAGATACGAGACTGTAAGAAAGGAAAGGGACACAGCTATGTGTGTCACGTTAAAATGTGAGTTCAGTCACAGCTGCACAGACTCTCACCCACAACATCTCCACTGCTTAGTGCACGTGTTAATCGTGACGTCACTGTGCTGTCATGTGGTGTGTTGTCTGCTGATGCACTTCAGAGTCTGTTAGAAAACAAATACAAACAGAACAGCCCACATTAACAAGTGTTTGCAATGTCAGCTCACTGTTTCTAAGCCCAAGAGTGACGCGATCACAAAACATCTTCTCGAACTCAGAGGACTGTTGGGTCTTATAATGTAAATGTAATATACTGCATGCTACTCAAGTGTTATTTGTATTGTATTTATTACTGTATGTGCTCTGTATGTTATGGGACTGGGGTCTTTTAGATTTTGTAGCCATGATGTTAATGTGTATAATTTTTTTCAATAATGTACAGTATGTGGAAAATAATGTGTTTTTTTAACTTTAAACCGCATAAACACATTTCATTACACCAAATACACAAAATAATGTTCTTTTTAGCAGCATCATATGACCCCTTTAAAATCTCACTGACCACAAACTTTTGAATGGTAGTGTCAATCTTCACATAAATTATGCAACCATGTTATGCTTAAATAAATCAGTTTATTAAAAGTTCTTAACCAAAAAGAGCTACAATATTATAAAAGAATCGAAAAAGTTAACATTTTACGGATAAAAACACCTTTATCCCATCTTTACATACAAAATAAGGCACTGTTCAGTGTTCTGCCAAGCAACATTATCATACAAATAAAAACAAAATGCACAACTTGTATTGTTCCAAATATGAAAAGAAAACAAGCATATTTAGATGTGCCCAAATAAATTCCACTTTTTACATATAAATGACCAAACAACCTCCAGTGTCTTCTCTATAATTTCTGTGCACATTGGTCAAAAAAGCTGAGCTCAACATGATAAAAGGGTGAAAACATGTAAAGTGGCCCTTTTTAATTATAGATCAGGGACTAAATAATAAAACAAGGTATATTACACACCTAAACCGACAAAAAAGGCCAGCGAACATTAAGCTTAATTTTGCTTCTCAAAAGCAGCTTCACATTTAGCAGCTTCACCTTCTGAAAACACAATCAAATCTTTTAGCAGCTCCTCCCTCCAAAAACTATCAGAACATTAAGAAAATCAGAAGCAGTGAACAGAAACCCAACTAAAGCACTTTCTCAGAAATAGGGCAAACTGTCATTGGACCATCAATCTTATTCTTAAGTTACATACACATCAGATAGCCTTAAGCCTACGGAGTGTTTTGGAATATTTTCTTTAAAGTTACGTAATATTGTTCTCTTTTGGCTTGAAAATGTGCAAATGTAAAGTCTGATACTGGCACACACGCTGTGTTTGAATGCATACTACACATTACAATCCGCAGTGTTTGGTGATGAGATCTGCTGTCAGAGAAAGCCGTGTTCATCCAGTCCTTTCACTGAAACGGCATTCCACTTAGCAGTGGGTTTATTACTGGAGGCGTGACCTGAAAAACAAACATGTAAATGAATGTTAACTTAATAATTAATAATAATTTTAATAATAATAATTTATGCATTTAGCAGACGCTTTTATCCAAAGCGGCTTACAGTGCATTCAGGCTGCATTCATTTTTTACCAGTATCTAAAATGTATAGCCTGAATGGTAGTAACTTAAAATGTTAATAACTTAACATTAGAACTGTATTATCAGACTACTGAAATTATAATAACATCTTATTAATCTGAATAATTAATACAAATAATAGTAATCCTAGAAATGATCAAGTTCTAAAAAAAAATAGACATATAAATAATGAAGATAAATAGCAACATAGTAGTAGGCAGTACAAGAAAAATGTATATCACAATATTCCCAATTTTGGTCAATAATGCAAAACATGACATTATTTTTTATAGAGGAAAAAAGTATATAAATATATAAACACACACACAAACAATATATGCATATGTGTGTGTGTAATATTTATTTGTATTCCTAATATATATATATATAT